ATATATATATTATATTTTCCCCTTACACATGCAAATCCAATAAAAATCTTAACAATAAGGGCTAGTGCTTTAAAAACCTGGTTTGTATTCAAACCCTTCCTCTTTTTCTGCAGCTTGCCACTTAATTCTGACTTACTAAAAACACTGCAATTCATAACTGGTAGCCACCAGGAGCAAAGAATATCAGCACTAGAGCTTGCCAACAGCCCCACTTGGTGGAACTGTAAACTGAGCCTCTGGCTTTTACTCACAAAGCCACAGATTATAAATGATTCAGGGTTAATGATATATTACCCCCCCTTTTTTTTTTTTTAGGTCTTGCCCCATTTCTTTCATAAATCAGCACAGAGCAACTGTATAGATTTTAGAGGCCTCATATATAATTACTGACCCTTGAGGTGACAGGTTACTGATTTCTAATTTTAGTTACAAAAAAGGAACACCGAATAATGAATGAAAGCCAATTTTACATTTGGCTCCATTCACAAAGCTTTAACAGAAGGAAAGCAATCTTTATTTTAGTTAAAAAAACAAATCAGTTTTCTTTTTAAATAATGATCCTTATCCCGGTGTGTTAGCTTTGTGAACGGAGCCTTGTAAAGGTATAATATGCTGTAAAAGGTGAACCATCCAGAACATGTACAGTGCAATAAAGTTTGTTCAAAATGTATAAACTAGTTTGAGCCACGTATCAGCATTCCAAACAAACCATATTCAGTACTCCAGGGCAGCACGCCAGCTGTTGTGAAACTACAAATCTCTCGAGGCATTGCAAGACTCTGGCTGCCAGTCATGATTACCATTAAGAGAAGCATGTTGGGATTTATAGTGTCACCACAGCTGTAGTCCCGAGGTTGCCTACCACTGCTCTTAAAATGAAACCTGATGTGAAAGAAATATGTAGGTTGTCAATACGGATGGTCATCATAAAAATGTTTGTTGCCTGGCTGTCATACGGATGCTTTGTCTTCAATACTTTAAGTAAAGAGCAGGAAATCTAACTTTTGTTGTTGTGCTTGGAGCACGGTAACTAGAATTTGCAGGAGGATGCCAGTAATAGTAGCCCACATATTTCTCTCATGATGTTTATTTTTAGTCACCTCCTTTTGAGTTTATTTGCAATCACTCGATTTGTTCTGTATGTTGCCCTCACAAACAGCCTTTGAATGTAGTGATTTTGGCCCTTATGCTTCCAGATTATCACAATCTACTGTAACCGATTACCTTTTTTAGTGTATGAATGTTATGTATTAATCATATTTTCCTTTTTCAGGGTGTCATGGTTGGTATGGGCCAGAAAGACTCCTATGTTGGGGATGAAGCCCAGAGCAAGAGAGGTATCCTGACCCTGAAGTACCCAATTGAACATGGTATCATCACCAACTGGGATGACATGGAGAAGATCTGGCACCACACCTTCTACAATGAACTCCGTGTTGCCCCAGAGGAACACCCCACCCTGCTCACTGAAGCTCCCCTGAACCCCAAGGCCAACCGTGAAAAGATGACACAAATCATGTTTGAGACCTTCAACGTCCCTGCAATGTATGTTGCCATCCAGGCTGTACTGTCCCTGTATGCCTCTGGCCGTACCACCGGTAAGACTTCTGTTCTAAAATCCAGTATATCTGCATGCATGAATGAATAATAAACACACATTCAAACAAATACACAAATCATGGATCAGTTTCACGTGTAGTAGATGAACACCATGCCAGTTAATTTGCCGTTTACCTTCAACTGTAACAACATTTTTTTAGCAATATTAGAGACAGGACACAGGGTGGGGAAATAGCGATAATACCTTGTCTCTAAACTCCAATATGTGTACACCTAGTTACAAATTATAGCACTTTCTGTAAATATAGTTTTCTATATTCCGTCTCATAACACAATACTACATGTTTACATCTATAACAATGCAACCTTGGCTTCTTAGGTATTGTTCTGGACTCTGGAGATGGTGTCACCCACAACGTACCCATCTATGAAGGTTATGCCCTGCCCCATGCTATCCAGCGTCTGGACCTGGCTGGCCGTGACCTCACTGACTACCTCATGAAGATCTTGACTGAGAGAGGCTACTCTTTTGTCACAACTGGTGAGCAATTGTTCGATCACATAACAAACTTTGCAATATGCATAAAAGTTATTCTGAAATCTAGATTCTGAATAATATTCTTTACAAATAAAAGCACTGAATATATATATATATATATATA